AAAAGTAAAGAAAATACTCAAATACATGCAATTAAGAATGAAGAGTGAACCCACAATAAATCCTGCAGAATTCCAGAAGATCAATAAAACGTACTTGGAGAATCTGAATCCTAATAAGATAGAAAATACAGTCAAAATGAACAGATTGTTAGATATATATGATTTACCAAAGCCAAATCAAGAAGATATAAAAATTCTAAATAATTGATCTGATCATTTCACATGTGTATATCTAAGTAACTCTTTGGAAGGTAACACTATTCAATATTACAACCATTGTTAAATTCCTGTCATCTTGTCTTGAAAACCTATACTGTTTTGGATTTTCTGTTGTTGTGTGTCTCTTTTGCTTTTTGTTTTTCTTTTCTGTGGTTTTTTTCTCTTAAATAAAGAAAAAAAAGACAAAAATTGTAAATAAATCAGTATCTGTAAATGAAGTTGAAGAAGTAATTAAAAACCAAGCAATGATGAAAAACCTAGTCCCTGATGGATTCACTGCTAAATTCCACAAGAATTTTGGAGATCTAATTTCACCACTCCTCAAACTCTTAAACAAAATTAAAAGGAAAGCAATACCTCTAAAGTCTTTGAAGCAAGTATACATGTACAACTACTGTCTGAAGTTATAGCCATAAAATCAGATCACTTTTATTAAAATATGATGAATCATTTTAAGAATATACAACATCAAGCAAAGTAGTCCTCAAGATTCATAAACTAAAGGCAAGTTCTGAATGCATTGGAAAGCGACCAATAAGCATTCATGTAGTGATACATTGAGCAAAAAAGATACCACCACTTTGACTTCTGTTTGGGAAAACAGATGTTTAATTTAACCTGCAGTGAATCCTAGTATTTCTGTAAAAGCAAAAAGAAATTTCAGGAACTAGGCACACATCTCTGAAGTCTGATGGGTCATGGTAATCAATGCACATGAAACATAAACCACAAAGTTAAAGTCCATCAGTTCCCCTATATCCAGAATCTGAGATCTCTATTTGGAGGACACTGTGAGAGTAGAAACAGACTTACAGCCCAAAGAGTGGTGCATGGAATTAGCTCATGAAACCAGAGAGGAAAAGCAGGAGAGAGAAAGAGAGACAGAGAGACACAGAGAGACAGAGAGACACAGAGAGACAGAGAAATGGACAAACTATCTCCCTGAGGTGGGGTCTTATTGAAAGAGGCAGGTCACTGAGTGTGACCTCAAAGAGTGTATCTCCCTTTCCAGCTTCTCTCTTAACTCTCTGCTTCCTGGCCACTGTGCTGTGAGCGTCTTTTCTCCACTCAGGCCCTACCATCATGCCTTTGTGTCTGAACCTGGCAGATTATGCAACAACTGAAACTTTTAAAACATGAGCCAAAATAAAACTCTTACTTTACATTGTGAGCTTGAGTATTTTATCTCAACATCAGATGACTGAGACACACTCAGAAGGCTATAAACACATGGACCATTATGCAGATTCTTAGAAATTGGAATTGGAATTTAAAAAAGGGTCGATAAAGAATGTAGAGGTGAAAGAGAAACATGAACTAAAAAACCTGGGTCTTGAAGAACATGGAGCCAAGGGCTGCAAGAATCAAACTCAAGGACACTGAAAAATATTCCTATCCATGTAGGCACAGGAGCCTGTATAGGAAAAGATCTAAGTGTATTAATGATTAAGAAATAAACACTATATGCAGGATTTGATAAACTGGGCATTGATGTCATGCGCAGAAGCACTCAGGTGACCTGAAGTGAATTAGAGGTCACTTTAGTTAAAGCTACCTATTTCACAAACATTTACAAGTCTTGAAAACATCCATATATTCCAGCTTCAATATCAGTGTGTCTATTTACCACTATAATTCTGGTCTCTGTCGTAGTCACTTTCCTTGGCACTGAGACACTGATACCCACAACTTAAAAGAGGAGAGGTTTATTTGAGTTAACAAGTTTTAGAAGTTTCAGGCTGTGGTTGACGGGTTCCAAATGGCAGAAGGATCTAGGGAAGAAAAGCTGCTCACATCACTATAGTCTGTCTAGAAGCAGAGGGAGGAGGGAGGAGCCAGGGAGGAAGACGCGCTTCCAGGTCATGCCCACGTTCTCACCGTGTTCCTTTGATTGGTGAAACCTGTTGGAAGCTGCAAGGAGCAATGCAGGTTAGGGAGAAAAAGTGGAGAGCCCAAGTTTCTTGTTTTTGCTTCCACCACAGATATATAGAAAAGGTGCAATGATATTGCAGGTATTTTAATTTGTGAAGATTCAGACAACTTTTAACTCATATATTTGATATATATTAATGCTGGAATTGAGCCCAGGGCCTCATGCATGCGGGCAAGTACTCCACTTCTGAGCTAGTCCTCAAAACTTGTCTCTCTATATATCTTCTATCTGAAACAAATGAACAAAAGATTAAACTCACTACTTCCAAAAAAAGACAGCACCAATAAACTTTATAGACCATCAGATCTAGGCTCACATTTAGCGTCAGCAGTGTAACTTGCCATGTGACTCAGGTTAAGTCACTGAAATTCTCTGCTTGATTGTCTTCACTTGATGTAGGGATAGAGTAACTATCTGATTTCATTACTATGAGGGTAAATGGTATGGCGATGGTAAAAAACCTACTATAACATCTCATATATCATAAATATTTTAGTAATAATAACTGACATTTATAGGGTCCTTTTCATGTCCCCAGCTTTGTTTGAGGGGCTGAATTTTCTCCTAGAAACTATGTAGGCCTGGAGTTTGATTTTATAAAATGGAGAAACTTAACATAGTCTTTACGGTACCCAACCAAGATGTCACAGCTACAGGGTGTAAAAGACCGAACAGAAATTCAGTCAGGCTACACAGTTCGCCTCGGCATTACTGTGAAGACCCAGATAAACTGTAGTTATTACTATTGCAAGGACAAATCCTGGCAGGGATGTGGAGGAGTATAAAGAAAGACAGAGTATAGACTGAATCACTCTTTTCCAGGGGCAAATGGGAATTCTACGATTAGGCTTTGGAGCTCTGTGTTAAATAAGGGACTGCTATTATTATTATGCAACTCCCATACCTAATTTTAAACAGAAAACAAAACTGCATAAATGCAGTATTATCCGTGTACCTTCTAAGCAGGGAAAACAGCTGTGTAGAGAGGTCAATGACACGGTCACCCTCAGTTCATTAACACTTGCTCCCGCTGAATACTCTTAGGGGAGCAGGCTATGTAGGTGGCGGGATCCAAAATCAGCTTTAGCTCTGATGTGCCCTTTTCAACATTTTCTATATCTACTTTATCTCACAGTGGAAAACTAACTTTAAAAATAAAGCAAAAGAAAACCCAACCTCAATAAGGAAGTAAGAACTACAGATTTTTAAATTGGAAAAGCATGTTTATTTCTCTTTGGTTTCTTGAAAGCAGCTTGCCAGGCACATAGTCCACAGCTTTGAACCATTTATATAAACACGTCCAAGTCTAATGTCTGCACACAGCAGCGAATTTGCCTGCACACTGGCAACTTAATGACTTTGAAGGCAATGGTAAAAACTGATACCTTGGCTGAATTCATCTGAGATATTTCTTACAAACCACAGACCAGTGACATTTGCAGTACATCAGAGCATCTCGAGTCACTTCGAAAGAAAATTCTATTGGTTTTGAGATGGGAAAAAAGTGCTAAATGATAACAAAAGGTACAAATTCATTCTTCAGGGGAAACAGAATGCTCAGGAATTGTGTGGTACCAAATAATTGTTATTATCCACCAGAGGGCACTACCAGTATATGCAAACTTTACAAGAAAAGTTGAAAACCCCTCATAGCCCCAGCTATAAGCAGAGAAGGCTAAAATGACTAGGTCCTCAAAATTTCACTTTTATTCAGCTTGATTTTCTTGTATAAATCAGGTAAGTGTTTCCCACTTTCTGAAGGGATTAATGAATTGGGTGATACACCTACTGCTATGACTCTTTTAAGTTGCTGACACAGTGTGAATGTGTAAACCTTCTTTTATGATAAATTTTGAGTTGGTCCTATATACAAAGTTTGGAGCTTGTCATTATGATAGCATAAGTTAATTATAAAGCCAGCTTCTTTCTTGTAGATTGGAGATTAATACAAGGCTTCTGAGGTAATTACTAGCAACATAAAATAGCTCAGGAATTATAAAGTATAAAAGTACACGCTGTTTTGTTTTACACTGGTAAAGACTATTGTTGATGAGAAAACTGGCAACTGTAATGTTGGGAAGCATTTTGAGGAAAGTAGAGGAGGTTTTACAAATAGCATAGGCAGAAGGGAACGCAGAAAAGAATATTAGTGAAGTCGTAGAAGTAGAAATTTCATGACAAAGAACAAATACTGTCTTTCTTCAATTATTCCTACACTGATTTATAATGCTTCTAAATACAACAATTCACCTCCTTCACTATTTTAAGCTCTATTTCTGCCCCTTCTACTGAATAGGTAGGCTGTCCATATTTTCCAAAACTATTATTCATAGTGTTTTCTCCAAGTTTCAAAAGTCTAGAAAAAATAAAATGCAAAATATTCTTGTTTTGGATAGTGAAGGCTTGAAGCAAGCTACTTCTTGGAGACAGACCGATCCTTTGTCCTCTTTGAGCCAGGTAGGGTGAGGCAGGACAGAGCACATGGTGAGATTCCATCTGTGCACTGAAAACTCCTCTTTTTATGTAGCTGTGCCCTCAGAATAAGTTTAAAACCGGTAACTTGAGTTGAAGAAACCAACCCAGCTGGAATGCTTACTGTGGTTTGCCATGTATTATGAACAGGAATTCGCAATGAACAAATTTATTTTGAAAAGTTAATTTCCACATATTTGAAGTTGATTAGAACCAGTTCTAACATGCACGTTCTTAGGTATTAAAGCCTAAAACAATTACATTACTATGTGGGGGAAAAAAAATGATTGTTTTGTCATAATAGTATTTCTTCAAAAATGACATGATACTTTACTTATGTTGAGTTCCCTACTGTTTTTTATGTTGTGCTACTTAGGAACATGCCATTTTCCTGGGGAATTAATGTGTGAAGACAAATACTTACTCACTACACATGAATGTGACAGCTCTGCAAGCCTTCACTCTTAATATGTAAAGTCTCAGAATGAAGTCCTCTGGGTGAGTCATGTATTTACACTTAGCAGAGAGATTGAGAAAAAATTAACACCACAAATTTCCTTAAGTAATGGGAAAAATGTGACTTTTTCTGCATTTATTTTCTGGGTCAGTATTTTTCCAGACATTTGACAGAACTGGAGGGTCACCCAAGATTTCTCCAGGTTTTCTTGACAGAAGGAATGGGAGATTTATGGTGGGCGCTTGATTTTAAATTTGTAAATTATCTATTCCTTTTATAGAATTCAAGTAATCACTGAAGTTACTGTTTTGGACAGTGAAATATATAAACTAGGGGTATAAGCTTTGAATGTTTAAAATAAATGATCTTGGTAAATTAAATTTCACAAATATCAAGACCTTATAAGTTCACTTTGTATACAAAAGAAAAATCTTTTATCCCTTCTTAACACATTTGTATAAAGAGGGAAATAGAGTCTAGAGTTTAGGTACAAGAGGAAAACTATAGGATTCAGAAAAATGCCAAGAAGTCCTATAAAGAAATGATGGAGAATTAGAGCCCCTGGGAAATGCAGAATAATTAAAAAGTGCTTGTAATATATAGTACAATAAATTCACAGGGAATTATTTTGGCACCTTATTGTCTAAATAAGGCACTTAGCATACTTACTAAAAGCAAATTAGACAAGTCATACAAGTTTCACCAACAGCTACAAATGTTGATCTTCAGAAATTTTTCAAGACAGATATTATTATGAATTGTATACTCCCAAAAGAAGTTCTGCTCGTGCCCCCAAACTCTATTTGGAAATATGCCCTTTCCAGATGGTAAAGTTAAAGTCGATTATGGCTGTGTTCCTATAAAAAGGGACCGTTTGGACATACAAGCAGACACAAACGGAGGAAAGACGATGTGAAAACGTATGTGACCACCATCTACATCTCAAGGCTCACCTAAAATTACTACAAACTACAAGACAGGCCTGTGACAGGTTCTCCATTACAACCTTCAAAACGTGTGAACTGTGGGCTTTGATTTTAAACATCTAATTCTTAAACTGTGAAGTAATACCTCACTTGTTTTTTAAGCCACCTAACTCATGCTATATTTTAAAGGTAGTGCTAGAAATCTAATGCAGACAATAAAGACACATTTTTAAGTACTTGTCCTCTGGTTTGTCATTTAGTCACTCAGCCTCCTGGCAATCCATAGAGCACAGAAGTTTCGCGCAGACTGCCTTTAATTTCCACCACCTGGTCTGCTTCTGGACCACCTGACACAGCCCTCTACAGAAGGCAAGTTCCTTTCACAATTTCCCAGGCCAAAATAATTAGGAGAGCAAAGCGGTTGTAACAGCTCAGATACTGCATCATGAGTCCAAATACAAATTCTACTTTGACAAGCATTTAAGTTAGAATGAACAGGAATGGTCTTCTCATTAATCACAAAAGAGCAAAGGATTGATTGCACTTCACTTTCCTTAAGGAAAACCAAACAGCTATGTAGCCTGATTAATAACAAGTTGACAGAATGGTAAAAGCACCAGAATTATAACCACCAATCATGGTTATTGCTGATGGCCCAAGAGCATGAGAAGTCTTCTGCTTTTTCTAAGATGGCCTCCGCCCAAACAGTGCAATCAAAGTAGGTTAAAATTTCCCTCATTAGTCCCTGTCAATGATGTTTTCAAACTTGATCTTTGTGTATTATTTAGGTAAGACAATGATTTTAAAACTGTCATACAAGCTGGGTGTGGTGAGGTAGCACTCTGGAAGGCTGAGTCAGGAGGACCATACGTTCAAATCCAGCTTGAGTAACACAACAGTTTGACAAGACCTTTTCTCAAGGTTAAAAAAGGACCTGATGGTGGGGCTGGGGAGTTAGCTCAGTGGCATTAAGTGCCTGCCTGGCAAGCACGAGGTCATGAGTTCGATCCCCAGTACTACAAAAAAAAAAAAAAAAAAAGCATAGAAAATTAAAAAAAAAAAAAAAAAAAAAGACCTGATGTTGTAGTTCAGTGTGAAGGCCCTCCAGTAGCACAAAAAACAAATAACAGCAAAAACTATCATACAAACAGAATATTTACAACTGGATTTTTTTGGTGGTACTGAGGATTTGAACCTAGGGCCTTGAATATTTTACGCAAGCACTCCGCCACAGAGCTACATCCCTAGCCCTACAACTGGACTTTTAAAACATTTTAAAAGTACAAGTGGACCTGCCTGCTATTTGATAAAAGAATTTCAAAGAAGTTAACATAAGTGAAATTATACAATGAATTTTAATTTATTGAATGTAGGTTAGAAGTACTTAGAAATTCAGACACCAATGTCAGGCCATCTTGATCCTCAGTCTGCAGAGGCTTGGAAAAGAAGTGATTCAATAAATGTATAAAATAACCAGTTGATATGAAACTCAACTGAAATGTATTTTGACTGAAAAAACTTTAAGAATATAAAACAATTAAAAATAAGGGGGAGGTTAGACCTAGTAGTGTGGTATAAGAGGTAATCCAACACCATTGTTTCTTTTTTTTTTCACTTCCTAATGTCTATGACGCATTGTTAATATCTAAAAAACATGCCCACACCTGGTACCACCTTTGTAGGTGTGACTAGAATCTGCCTGTTGGAAAATAAAGGCTTAAATAAAATGAAATCAGAGAAAATGACACATAAAAGGACAACTTGAATTTCCAGCAAAGCAAATAATGGGGTTGATCAACCCTCCAGCACAGTCCTCCCAAGCGAGCTGTGTTTCCAGAGGAAAATGAGGGCGGAGGGAATCTCAAAAGTCTTGGCTCCCGTCCATCCCATGGCCTGCTAACACAGGCCCGGCTCCCCTGAGCACTGCGGTCACGCTCCAGTCGCTGCCAGAAGAGCTGCTTTCATTAAAAGTGAGTAGGCAGGACAACAAGCAACAGTGTTGGGCAGAAATGGGATGCTGGAAGGAGCTGGGGATGACGGACTTGGTTTCCCTCCTCTGCTCGGCAAACACTAGGTAGGCTACACTGGATGGTATCTTCTATTTATCTTTTCTCAGGTTTGGAAACTTTCTCCATTCCTAGGGTCACTCTAATGCCCCAGGCACTCAAAAACATTTAGTTGTTAATCCAGGGAATTCCACCAGGACTCTCGTGGGGATTTTGGTAGAAAACAGGATCTTCATCTGTTTTTGTGTCATGGCACATTTTGGTATGGCCTGTGACTCATTTCCTATAATATTTTAAAACATACAGGATGTTTATAACTGAAAATAAAACCAACTATGTTAAAATAATATTGCACTATTTAAATGTATTAAAATACTGCTACAAAATATTTTTATTATTTTAAAAATATACTTTTACTAGGGCCTATTTTACAGAATATTGAGTTTTTGTTTGTTTGTTTGGTCTTTTTCCTTTTTATCGGTACCAGGGATTGAACTCACGACTGCCTGCTTGCAAGGCAGGTGCTTATGCCGCTGAGCTAAATCCCCAGCCCCAGAATATTGAGTTTTGATGTGGTATTTTTATAGATGCATATATTTTGATCATATCCATTTCCCCTTTGCCCTCTCTTAAAAACAAATGTGCAACATAGCAATCACATGCTTCTTTGCTAACACGTGAAGTACGATCTAATTTTGAGTGGTATAATCATCATAATCTCAACCACAAGTATGAATGACATTTTGAGGCATCGATGATGATTGATATGATTGGAAATATCTGTGAGTCCTGTCAAAAATAAAGTCAAAGGCGTTACAAGCAGTACTGTGATTTGTTTGTTTCTTTACTTATCATGGAAGACACTGCTAAATGTCATTAAAGTTTAGTGGAAATGGAAGTGGAATATTTCCCATGAAAAATCATAGATCCCCTGATATCTATCATTAGATTCCTTACAGAATCTGGGTTTTGGATTAAGAACCCTGCTATATAGTTTCACCCTGCCTGAGACAGGCATTACCACGTATCACACAGCAGTTTTACGAAATTGTATTATAGATTACCAGCTTCCTACACAAGTGTTAAACTCCGTCTGTCTGACGATTCAGAAGTCACTTCAGCATCTTCACAAGAGCTAACCTCCTGAGAATCGAGGACTTCCTATGTAGATTTGAGATGCTCTCCTTAATGAAATTGCTGGGTTCAGAAAACCAACAATGGTTGATACGTTCTTTCTAAATGAGACAATGAAACAAATCACCCACGCGTGAAGTGATAGTATCATAACATCATAACTTCTCAGGAAAAAGAAGTAGTGATCCATCTAGTCAATCAAAACAGATAATTCAATCTTAGTGAGACCTTGATGTCAGAATTTTATCTGAAGTTCAATTCTATTACTTTTGACACATTATTTACTTCTGGGAGCTCCAGATATTTAAACCACAAGACAAAAATGAAAATAGTGTCTGTCTCAGTGAGATCTAAAGGGAGTTAGAGGAGATAACGCAGGACAAAATGCCAAATCAGCATCTCCTGTAAAGTACCCATTGCCTCTTGACAGACTGTGACCAGGAAGACCTATCAAGCTGACTTTTCTCTCAACCTCTTTTCTTGGGCTGTTCTCAGTTTTCTGCTTTAATGAATAGACTCATTCTTCATTCTAGATTCTTGACTTTAAAAGGCTGGAGAAGATAGAAGAAACCACACAGATTACATAAAGGCAGATGTTCAGAGCATACCAAAATAGCTTAAAACTATTTGTAATCAGCAGATATGAGGGTAAGTCTGTTATCAGCTTTAAAATATTTTGTAATTTTGGGAAATATTTTACAATCCAGGCTCCTCCAGTTTTCCTGTGTCAAAATGTCAAGTAAGACGTGAAAAAGCTTGAGAACTAGCAAGTAATTTTGCTTGTGAATTCCCACAAGTTGGGATCAACTTGAAGGATGTAATTTACAGGCATTCTTGGGAAAGAAACATTCTTGTTTCATGAAAATGTGGTGTTAAAATTTGTCAACTGCTTACTGTCCCTTAAGTGCTAAAAGTAAACTTAGCAGGAGTATACCATTTTTACACTTTTCAGTTTTCACCTGATACTTAAAAAGAGAGAGAGAGAGAGAGAGAGAGAGAGAGAGAGAGAGAGAGAGAGAATTATAGCTGATGGCAAAACACACAAAAATAACTGACGACTAGGAAATCAGAGTTTTGGCTGCTTACTTTGAAAAGTTGGGCGCCTTTCTCATTACAGTTACATGTAAATGATTGCTTTACTGATGGGATAATTTTGATTTCCAATGTTTTCTGTCATATTTTGGATGTATTTCCAAACAGAAAAGAGCTAGCAGCATACAATACAGCTCTCATAGTCTGCGTATCTAAATCCACCCATCGTGTACACTTTGTCTCTTTCGTTTCCGCATTCACTCCTCTCTATCTCTTTATCTCTCTGCATATATATGAAAGTATTTTACCATTTTGTACAATTTTCCAACTTGCTAATACAAAAGCAAATCTTTAGTTCTTATACAAAGTGACCTATTTTATTTATAAGAGTTACTGATTTACATATAGTTGTATATATCGATGGTATTTGGCTTATCAGAAATTTTAATTTTTTATTCATTTAGGGATTTGGGATATCACTTGATATCATAATAAATCATACCCAAAACAAAGCAAATAATATTAAAAATTTTTCAACCAGATTTATCTTCCTGACATTGGGAAAAGGGAACATATAATGATCTGGCCTAGGACAATGGAGGGGAATTTTTGATATTCCATAGTTCATACAAGGAAAAGGGCATTAGAGATTATTAGACATTTTGGAAAGTGGAAGAGGCTAAAAGATGAATTTGATGATTTAGCATCTATGAAAATTTCTCTTTGTACAAAACTGACTTGTTTTACTATAATAGCTGCTATGCTCTCTCAAATTAAATATATATATGTATATGTCTATGTGTATGTATATATATACATATATATATCACATTTTGGTGATTTTTGTTTCAATTCTTTTCTTGATAGTATACTAAAATATAGTGTTAGATGCTGTTTATTTCACTGACATTAAATTCAAAGTACTGTGACCTTTGTTGTAACCATGTCTGGATACTAGTGGGGATAAACAATACAGAAACTGACTCAGGTGAAAACCACGTGCACTAAAACATGATTTTCTAAAGCCCAAAGTTTTGGAAACTTTGTAAGGGCCCCATCTATAAAGGAATCAAAAAAGAAATCATAGAAAAGAAGGTATGAAGAATTTGGAGTGAGGCCTTAGATATGTTAATCTTTTAATCTTAATTTCATTATCTGTAAAATAGAGATGACACTAACACTTACTTTTCTCATCCCATGAAGTTATATTACTCTTACTATTATTATTGTTATTATTGGTGCTGGGGATCAAACTCATGACCTCGTGCTTGCCAGGCAGGCACTTATGCCCCGAGCTAAATCCCTGCCCCCTCCATAGAGTTATTTTAGTGAATAAGAAAGATACTGGGCAATAAAATACTTCACATATGAAAAAAAAGTCACATTAATTATAATCCCACTAAAAGCACTTGAAGATATTACACTGTTGAAAACTAAAAATCCATTGTCCCAGTATATTGGTAGTAGCATATTGTAAAGATGGAAATATAAGGACTGAGCTGGACAACTACACCATGGGTTGCAGAACAAGGGTTAAAGTCTTCCAGAAGAATCCCTCATACAAGCAGAGGCAGCACTGAGAGTTCAAGTGTACGAATTATATCTGCGACCCCTAATATAACGTACATCACCCAGAAAAATCCCCATGTATGGGTCCTGCTAAGAAAAAGCCCAGAGTTAATGAAAGTTCATTTTTCAGAACATGCTCATCTTTTCTTCAAGCCCTCTCTGGTCTCACGGGTAATAAGCTAGTTACCGAAAGCCCTGGCACAGTGAGCTGACCTGTTCCCAGTATGCCCTAAACCTCTGACATTTTTCAATTTATTTTTTGTATTCTTTAGGGGCCAGCCAGATCTCACTCAGTATGAATGGATAATGTACGTGATTGATTCTCCAAAAAGTGATGAATTGTAAGAAGGGATTTTAGAGAATCATAATTATTTACCAAGCACCTATTTTGTATCAGTCCCTCTGTTGAGTTGGAATCTGATCATACATAAGACATATATGCACAATTATTACCCTAATGTAGATTAATCCAGTGATGGGCACAGTAACTAGTAAGCCAGTACTGTTACTGAAAATCCTAATAATAACAATGAATCACACTGTTGAGCATTTACCAAGTATCAAGCACGATCTTTAGTGTTTCACTGTATACTACTGCCAGGTATATAGCTCAGTGGCACAGTACCTGACTGGCAAGGGCAAGGTCCTGAGTTCAATTCTTGGTACCAAAAAAAGAAAAGCACACACTATCATTCCCATATTAAAGCTTATGAATATGTGTGTCAATCTTGATTGTTAACTTGTCTAAATTAAGAGATGCCTGGAGAGGTGGTTGGATCATGGGAGACTTGCACTCACCCGTGGACCAACCCACTGGTACTCCTAGCTGAATGTTCTGTTAGGAGGGTCACTGGGGGCATTCCTTTGGAGAATATATCTCTCCCTGGCACTTTTCCCCTGGACTTTGCTTCCTGGCTTTTGTAAAAGTGAGCAGCTGTCCTTCACCATGATGTGACTGCCTTAAAGCCAGCCGACCATGAATCAAAACCTCTGAAAGCATGAACCCCGTTAAACATATCTCCCTTTAAGTTTGGGGTATTAGGTACTTTTTCTTAGCATTGGGAAAGCTGAAGAATGCAGAAGCTTAAGTAACTTTTGCAGAGTCCCTGTGTGGCAATGAGAGGATATAAACCCAATCTGTTAAGGAGAGTAGAGAGAACTGTAGAAATATAATCTAATCTAGGTGAAGGGTAGGAATGAAAAGCTTCCCTGAGGAAACACTGTCTAAATAGAGACTTGAAAAATGAGACTAATTTCTTAATCCAAATGAATGTGTTATAAAGCTTAATGAGAACTTACAAGGGTAGGAGAACAGGAAGAAAGGGCACAGGAGCCCATTACTCCTTGCTAAAACAGCAGCCAACTTGTTATGCACTAAGTGGATGAGGGTCCATTCCTACCCTCCAAGTCAAAGCCTCCCTTTGTCTTTTCTCCTTTTCCTGGGGCCAGCTGCTCTTAAGATGAACAGATAACTAAATATGCACCCCCTGGTCAAAACATAAAGGGCAACCGTGGAAAAAGAGAGCAGATAAAACGTGTTAGTTTATGCTCATCTCTTTTGTTCTCAAGGAAGAAAAATAAAGGATGAAGCAGTTTTTAAGAAGAACACAACCATTTTATTGCAGTGATAATTTTATATTTTTGAACTCTTAAAGATTATCTAATTCTCTTATTTTGCAAATGCAAAGAAATGATCCAAAGAAGATGAGCCTTGCCTATCATCACACGGCTAATTACTGTCACACCGAAGAATGGAAACTAAGCCTCCTTACAGCATTGCACCAGCCCTTGGAATCCTACAACAACATTTTTGCCGTGAACGCTTTTAATTCCTCCCATCAGAAAAGTGTCATAGCCACATTAAGCTAGATTTTTGCAAGAGTTCGACCAACTTTGCTGAGGCGGTCTGAGCATAATATGTTCACGAGCCTCTGGCTGTATTATCGAGGATCCCTAGTTTCTAGTTTTAATTTAAATATCACAGAGTGTAGGTGGACTAATGTAGGTGGAGGTCATGAGTGCATTTCTTTGTTGAGAACCAATAATGCTATAAACACTACATAAAACGCCAACACAAAACACCTGCCCGGTGACCTGATAGCAAAAAAGAGGAAGACATGGCACACTAGGAAACGTGCATGACTCAGGCAGCAGGGAAAAAGGAATGACAATGTAAATCTATAATTGCTTGTGACTCACATAATCCTTTCTCCTCGAATGTATTTCAAATGATGCCTCTGTTAATTTTAAAATAAAACTACAGATTCCAGAGGAAGAGAATGATGACACCAAAGAACTTGTAATCTTCCAGAAGCTGGAATCAGTGGAGACGGACTAAAGAACTGAAGTTCCATATTTATATGGATAAGAAAGAAAAAAATATTTGCAGTCAAGATAAAGCATAAATTTAGAATAGAAGGAAGCAGGTATTGTAATAGTCAAGTAGTTTCTATTGCAGCTGTTTACATTTTATTTTGTGTTTACTTTTTGATTAGTATATATTTGAAGTCCATATTGTTCACATTCCCTGTGTGGTTGCAGATGTACATAACACATCTTAATTCTGTTTTTACATGCCTACCCGCTCCCATCTCTTCCTTCCCTTCTTCTCTTGAACTCCTTTTAGCGTGTAAAATATCTAGCTCCCTACTTCCTATTATTTATTTTTCTCTTCATTTATATTTTGGATTTTTCATATAAAAGAAGCCATTAAATATTTAAGCTTCTATATCTGATTTATTTTGCTTTATATCATGACCTCAAAGTGCATCATTTTCCTATAAATGAATGAACATTCTCTTTCTTTATGAAGAGTTGTATTCCACTGTGTGTTCTTTATTCATTCATTTTCTTCTAGCTAGAACAACAAACCACTGTGTGTCTTTCAAACAGAGGTCATTTAATAGAGGAAAGTCCTTATCTAAAATGATGGAAGACCTGAGATCCTAGTTGGGATATAAAAAGGCAACAGCAGAAAAATATTGCCACACTTAGAGTTGAAAGGACAACATGGGGGCACCAGTAACCAAAACCTAGAATCTAGAACCTTCCAGAAGAAGCTAGAATCAGTGGAGATGACCCAGAAGGAGGGATCATTGAAGAAGGAGCCTTTTTGAAGTGACTAAGATTCCAAAGGAGACACAATTATTATAGCAGATCCCACAGGAGTTAGAAAATGAGAGAAAACCAGTGTGCTTTTCTCTCCTTTCCATTTGTCACTCTTCTGTCACTACTTCACACTGCCAAAGGCACTAAAAATTCGACAGGTAAGGGAATTTAAGAAATGTGGCAAAGCAGGGAAAGGGTGGAAAGGAATCAGGAGATTCCTTGGTAGTTGGCCAGCACATGATGTGATAAATCAAGTCTGAATTCTGCAGGCCCCTGGATGTCTAAAGCAACTTTTACATTAGTGGCTGCATTTCCATCCAGGAGGCCTGCATTTCTCCATCTTCCTCTCTCATTCATTGTCTATTCACCATCCCTTGGAGTCCCCTAAAAAAACCAAAGTATTCAACCTCCCATAGAGTCAGGCTCCAGGTTACAGGAGCCTACTCTGAGCCCACTGCAATTCTCTAAGAACTTGCCAGTCTGTCTGGCTCATTAATTCTCTTTTCTAAAGAACACAATCAAGAAGAGCTTGAACCTGCACCTTTGGGTGAGAATATAGACCCTGAGTCTTGGGTACCAACAGAACCACTGTTTAGTTCCCCAGGCTTGGACCACACTTGGTTCACTAAGCCATGACTATGAGTTTTTCTTCTCTATCTTTTACTTAGTAATTTGTCACCCACACAAAGTATCAATTAGCACAAGATAGTCAAAGGTGTGTGAGAATGAAATAAAAATAAAATCAAATTTTGTTTGGAAGTTTGACCTTTTGTCCCTGGACATGATGAAAAAAAAAAGTGTTACTGAAGTTTTCCAGTGAAGTGCTCTCTTCATTAAGCCAGAGTGCCTCTCTGTGAACATGTTAATGTAGGAGCAGATTGTAAATAATCCTCTTGGCATTGAGGACTGTGTTGTCTCTTGGAGGCTTCAAAGTGCTCCTCTTCTGAGCTAAATGAACAGGAGGAACAAACTGTACCAAACCCAAACTGATTCTGAGGACATGATCCGATTCATTTTCCTTGGTCTGGGCACTCTTAAGTGACGGTGAAGGGAGAGAGTGCTGCTGAATCCAGGCTGCATTAGTCACGGTAGGGTGGTGACCACTCAGTCTGCACACTATGGACTTCTGTCTCTGCATGTAAACTGTTACAGTACAACTAAGGAAACTAGAGTGAAAGCCAGGATACCAACCACTCCTTCAAGCCAGCAATCTTTTAACTTCTGCCAAGAGATTTTTTTTTTGCTAAAATAAAGTTGCTTAGACTCCAAAAATAACATCTGTTGCTCAGAGTAACATTTTCAAAGAACATAATAAACGCTACCTCCAGAAAATATACACTCTGTGGTTCCCTAAGGGAACTTGTAGAATGGATGATGTGACATTCTGGGCTCCTTCATTTCATGTACTGCCTGCCCCTGGGTAAAATACTTAGTTGATATGAGCGGTGGTAACATATACTATGTAAAAATTACCTTCATTTTCACCATGCAATGAACTGAAATAGCTTTAAATATGAGCCCCATTCAGATGTGCTAGGCAGGCTTTCACTCGCAGAGAGTATTTTTGGACTGAGGTCATGATGTCCTAGAGTAGGTACCAGGAAAATCCAAAATCTTGAAATGTAATAATAATAGCTACAACAGTCTAAGGCTGATAGTTGGAGCATATAGTCCAAGCACATTTTTAGATTTCCCGAAAGTTACCTCCGTTTCCAAGGATCACCCAACACTTTAAATCTCACTTCCCAGTATCACTCCACAACTTGTTAACCTTTATCCTCTTCATCTGTCCCTGTCAAACTTTTAGAGATTTCTGTCGCTAAATCAAACATGGAAGTGCTTGAATCACAGTGTGCTCTGTGACTATAATGAGCTCCTGATCGTCTTATAATTGGAGGTCACTCGCTACAGGAGACTAGAAGAGACTATAGAGGTAGTA